GAACGCCGCTATGTGTTCGCTCACCTCCCGATCTACTGAGCCGACCTGTGACAGTCTCATTGTCACAGGTCGGCTAGAACTATGAGGTGAATGGAAGTCACTCATCTCATAGTTCTCCTTTAATAATATATTATAAGGGCATAAAATCTTAACACAAGTATATAAGCAATTGTGAAAAAGCTTAGTCATGAGATTTAGGTTTACATAAAGTGTCCATATCTCAGTTATTGTACTTAAAGCCACTTTAAAAAACAAAATGCCTCTGCGCAAAGAAAGCAACTTCCCGTTCTATCACTGGCCTTTACTTTCTTGGAGTCAAGCTTGCTGAAAAAATCTTCTGCAAACGACACTTGTGGGTGTGTTGGATGCCAGGTTCCTTGCTGCATGGTGTGGATCCTTCCATCTGTCCCTAGTGTGTCATGGTGCAACATAGAGGCTGGCAGAAGAAACCACAGCATGCAGAGAGAGAACTGGGCATCACAAATTCCAAAAAGTCAAGACACTGACTGTTCAGCAAGCTCAGCTCTTCAACAGAGTCAAGGCTGATGGGATTGGCAAGAAGACGGGCAAGTATTTCTGCTTGGAGGCATTTATGTTTATAATAGTCACTTTGATGTAGAGGGTACATTTTCTTTCCATTACAATCGTCAAGCCCCAATATACAGGATTAATCCATAGCGCAGACTTAAGGCAGCATAACTAAGAAGCAGTCAGAAGATTCAATCTGACAATATGCATTGGAAACCTTACCTTAAAGATTAATGTGAGTGTAATGTTAGAAAAAAACCAAAAAGGGGTACAGTCACCACAGGGTAATATAATGCCACCTGTAATATAGTAGCCTCTAGACCAGGGGTGCCCACAATTTTTTGTGTCGAGGTCTACTTTTCAAATGACGAGCTACACGAGATCTACCAACGAAAAAAAAACCTCCCTCACTCTCTCCTGGCTGTCCTCTCTCTCTTGGCTGTCATTCCTCATTTTCTCTCCTGGCTCTCTCCCCTGGCTCATCTCACTGTAGTGCAACAGGCTGTGTAAACTAATATTCTTCGATGTAATACATAGCACTTCAACCACCAGAAAGGTGTCAGGGAGCTTGGCTCAGCAGACTCATGCTTATAGGTAATTATGTGTGCACAGCTAAATAAATATACCAAAATGGAATATAGGGGCCGCCATTCACACCCTTCCTGATCTAACAGCATCAGCTTTGAAAGCTACTGGTAGATTACGATCTACCTAATGGGCACCCCTGCTCTAGACTTTCCTTTCCAGTGGCTTCAAACATCTCTGCTTTGCTGCTCTGCAGCAGCTGAAGGTATTATACACCTCCGTGTGTGAATAACTACTAGTCCTACTGCACTTCCTCACACCAACTGATGTTACTACAGAATTTACAAGCTGCCAAGGGAATCAGGTATTCACTGTGCCTAAAGTGTTGAATACCTGCAACAGTCAGGGACCAGCAAAGCAGCATCATTTGAAGACATTGCTGCCAGAAAGGAAGTATAGGACTGGGGTTAGTTTAGAAGTTACCCTGTGGTGACACTAATCTGTTTAAAGGTGACTATAGACCCTGGGAGGTAAAGGTCACATCACCTTAAGCAGTGCAGTCTCTGGTGTGTGGATACCAGTAGAACATAAGACTAGTAGAGAAGAGGAATGTAAACTACGGGGCTCAGTGTTCATTACCATTATGATATACCGTGTTTCCCCGAAAATAAGACACTGTCTTATATTTTTTTTGGCTCAAAAAAGCACACTGGGTCTTATTTTCGGGGTAGGTCTTATTTGTTTTTTTTCATGTACAACAATCCACACTTATTAATGTAGAAAAGTCTACATGTCTACAGAAATATGGTGATCAGGGCAATCAGGGGTGCCGTACCTCCCCATGAGCAATTTGCTAACCAATCTTTGGCCAGAATGAGCAAAGCGCACTTTCACTATCGATTCCTCACAGGTGGAGTGCATTTGGCATCACTCCGCCTGTGACAGGAGCCGGCGCTATAGAGGAGGCATCTGCTCTGCTCCCTCCACTGCCGCCTCGCTTCCTCTAGAGCTGGCTTCATTGGCACTGCTGATTCTCTCCTGCAGCTCTTCAAGTTCCCCCTTATGCCACCACCGGCCCTGACAATGGTCACAACTAGGTCTTATTTTCGGGGTAGGTCTTATATTTTAGCAATTCCCAAAAATAGTACTAGGTCTTATTTTCGGGGTAGGTCTTATTTTCGGGGAAACAGGGTAGCAGTCATCGTAAGGCCTCATTCACACTATGCGATTTGGTATTCCTGTGCATGCATTCATGCGGCTTAGAATAGATCACAGTCCCAAGACGCATCTATTCTGTGTCCGGGGACAGTGATCTATTCCAAACTGTATATAAAATTGTATCACATACAATTAATCGTATCACTTAGAGATGTAGCCGCTGTCAACTGGTCATTAACCTGAACAGGTACAGCAGGCACATCTAAACAGGACATTTGGGATTCCTGGGCCATCCAAAGTTCCTGCTGCAAGAATCCCAAATCTCAGTGTGAATAAAGCCTCTTATTTGTGACTCCTTAACGCTAAGTGCAATCCACAGACTAAGCTACAGGAGCTAAATCAAGGGGTGACAATATACCATTCATAAGTCACCATGAAGGCCGGGCTCACAGTACTCCAGGACCGACCTGTGTTTACACATTACACAAGTGACACTCCGTGCTGAAAGAATGCTTTCCCACCCCACCAGAGGAAGACCCTCCTGTGAGATCACTGGGCCGGCCCAAATAATGGTGAAAAGGGTATATAAACCTTCCCTTAAAGCGACACTGAACTCAGGAGTTAAATCTTAAAAATACATTCAAGTACCTTAACAAAACTGTATCTTATTTGTGTATCAAGCGGCTGTAGATCCTCAAATAATTTCTGAATTGGTGCAGACACTGTCCTTCCTTCTGGAGGGTGGATACTTCTAGTAAACTAAACATGAGATTGTAGTCCATCACAGGAGTGAGCTTCGAGCGGTGGCTACTTTAGAACACACATCGGGACCATGGAGAACAAAAGTAGTCACCCTCCAGAAGGAAGGACAGTGTCAGCACCAATCCAGAGATTATTTTAGGATCTACAGCCAATGATAGCCAGTGAGGTTGCCTGGCTTCCTGGCCAATCAGGAAGCCGGGCAGCAAGTCATGAGGTGCCGTCCGGCTTCCCGATTAGTCAGGAAGCCACGCTGCCTAGAAACAAATGAAGCCAGCTTCCTATCCAATCAGGAAGCCGGGCGGCATGTCATGACCCACCTCCCTGATTGGCTAGGAAGCCGACTTCACTTGTTGCTAGGCAGCGTGGCTTCTTGACCAATCAGGAAGTCGGGACGTGAGTGATGACATGTCGCCCGGCTTCTTGATTGGTTAGGAAGCCAGGTTGCTAGCAACAAGTGAAGCCAACTTCCAGGCCAATCAGGAACCCAGGAGGCCGGTCATAACCCACCACACAGCAGAAAGGTCCTGCATCGGAACATTTGGGCAATTACAAGTACTCACCCAAATACTCGGTATCGGCACTGATACTAGTATCAGTGCATCCCTAGTAAGCTGACTTTCGCACAAAATGGGAGAAAATTACCTTACCAACACCACTCCGCCACCTCTGCACATACCTGTACGACCCACATACTGCACTTCACATCCACCAGTATGTAATGAGCATAATGTTCACAAAGGACAAGCAGTCACTGGTTCAGCACACCACCATGCTAACCAATGAGAAGTGCTTCTGGGACCTGGTTGCAAGGTGGTGTCATTTCCTCACCATTACCTTTTAAAATAGCTGAGTTACTATTTTCTATTTTTTTTGCTGCTGGACCCATCCTCTACCTCCATTCTAGGCTAGGCGAGAACTACATCACTCTCCTCCTGAGATACTGACGTCACATACCACAAGAGACCCGTAAGTATATGTTTAGAGGCAGCAAAAGAGAATCACCACATGAGTTTCACCTTCCATAGGACAAGCAGTCTGCCACTGAGGAAAGTCACAGGGAAGCAATGAAGCGGTACACAATAATAAACATATTCCATTTCAGCCATGTGACTGATTTACACATTCCATACACACAACATACTTATCTACAGTAGAAGCCTGAATGGAGGGTGATACTATTCAGTGCAAGCATGTAGTTGAAGCTTTCAAAGTACGATGACGTCTCAATCAGGGCAGAAATATTGCCTGAGGACACCAATGTTCTTGGAAAGCTTGTACTAATCTAGTGCAGCAATAAATGGCTTCACCCCAGTGGCTCATAGAGGGAAATACAGCTGTATTTACGGTGCCCGGGAGCCCTGACTTTTGCATTTTACCATCCATATGATTTTTATGAACAGAATACACGAGTGCCGCCATTTCCATACACATGGGCACAAGTTCTCTAACTTCCACATTGGGGAACTCATGCCAGAGCAAACACCAGAGCTTGCATTTATCTACATAGTGTATTCTGTGTATACAAACCTATGGACGTATTTGCATTCATGTGAATAATCCCCAAATTTAAAATCTGTACCGTGTTCATCAGCAACAAAATAACACTGTTGCTGACCCTTTTTCTTTAATGTAAAAAAACGTGACCCTAGTGTGCCTAATGTTAAGTCAACCCAATCCTGACTTTATGGTGGGCATCACCAGGTAGAAGGCAAAGCCGGGGGAAGAGCGCATTTCTTTCACCACACAAAGAGAGCGCTGATAATTATTGGTTTGCCGTGCCCTCCCTGAGCGCTCGGTCTGCCCACTCACGTCTATACATACCCAGGGGCCGCTCTCCACCGCCTGTCTAGCAGGAGCCATCTTGTTTCGCACAGACAAAGCCGCCGCTTCTTCCTCCCCAGAGCTTCCTAAACATTCCTCTAACACATACACACGATAACCAGGCACAACAAGCGTTCAGCCCTCAGGGTGACCAGCAACAGGCGGCCACAAAGATGACCGAACACCGCCGCGGGAAAAATACTCACTCTGTGCTCCGTGGTCTTCCCTTCCGTGTCACTCATGGCTGCTGTTCTTGTTTGTAGGTGATGAGAATCGCCTGCCGGTCTTTCCCCTACACCTTCGCGAGCTCTCGTCCTACGTGCTCGCCGACCCGCAACTTGCTTTCTCTCCTGCCGACCGCTTCACAAAATGGCGCCCGGTTCTTCTTCTCGCGGTTCATAAGGCACAGTAGATGGTGGGCGGGGATTGTCCGGGCGCTGGTGACTGGCTGAGTGACGTAATCACAGCGGTTCCTAAGCAGCTTAGGCTTCCAGTGTGTGTGTTGTGGATGCATAAGAGGCGCCTGTCACTGCTGGTGTAATTTAAGATAGAATGCTTCTGGTGGGGCTGACTTACTAAAAGGGAACTCGTCATCACCAATGTGTTAACACACCACAACAGGGTTAGGGGGGATTTATCAAAAGTTGAGCAGACAAAATCTGGAGCAACCAATCAGCTTCTAGCTTTCATTTACAAAGCTTAATTGAAGAAACTGAAGAGATAGACTGATTGGTTACTATGGGCAACTGCTCCAGATTCTGTGAATCCAGCCAAAATGAATAGGCTGCCTGAAAGGAGATCTATGAGGTGAGTGATTTCCACTCATCCTCATAGTTAGAGCAGACCTCTGACAAAGAAGTGGTCATAGGTCGGCTCTATTGATCAGGAAGTGAGTACTAGAAGCATGCCGCCGATCTGCTCACTGTCACTCACGGCTCCCCGCAGGGATTCCCCACTCCGATCCTCCAGCGCTGACTGGAGGAAGCAACGGGGAGGGGGCGGGCACAGCTGGCTCTGCCTCTAAATAGGCAGAGCCAGCTGTCACTCACGCAGCTAGGCGGATCCAGACAGTATTGTCGGGATCCGTCCCGGCTGCAGCGCTCTCAGTATATCACAGGCTACTGAGCTTTGGGTCACAGGAGGAGGTTAGTATATGACCTCCTGTGACCCTAAAGAGAAGTATTGGGAAAAACACTTACCCCATAGTTCTCTTTTAATGCAACACACCAAGAAGGAACAATGTGAATGAGCCCTCCAGCAAGGAGAGATGGTTCACACCAGGACCGCATTATCCAAAGCAGCCGCAATGCAAAGACAAGTCAAAAAGCTTTGCATTGTATAAGGCCTGTTCATAGCAACGCACTGTGTTGATGAGAATTGTGATAAAATGAAGCAAGCATAATTTGTCACAGTGCAGCACATTGCAACGCACTTCTGTGTGCAGACTTGAATAAGATGTTATTTTGTTACACATCAAATAAAGTAGAGGGTAAACAGTGCGAGGTGCTGTAACAACACATCACATCCCCTTCACATCATACACCAGACACAATGTGCCCCACAATGGGGAGACATATATATCAAAAATGGAGCAGACACAATCTGGATCAGTTGCCCATAGCAACCAACCAGCTTCTGTCAACAAACTCAAAAGAGAAGCCGATTAGTTACTATGAGCAACTGTTCCAGATTGTGTCGGCTCCAGTTGTGATATCTCCCCCCAATGTATAGATTTGTATGTAGCAGTATGTGTCTGTATGTGTCCATTCATAAGGCTGCGTCTGGCAGTGTACGGTTGCGCTACATTATACAAAAAAAAGGAAACAGTGCTGCATTTGGTGCCGTAATTTGGACCTTGGAAGGGCTCATTGAGTTGCGTTGATCTGCAATGATCAGTGCCAGCACATAAAAATAACTGTTCTGTGTGACCTGTTTACACCACAACGCTGCGTTGAGGTGGGTTGCGGTGCGTTGTGTAATAATACAGACATGCTGCATTTCTCCACAACACACCGCACATCACCTGGTGTCACCGCGCAGCAGCTCAGCCGTGGTGCATAGAAAGGAATGAAACGTCATTTTGTTATATGTCAATAAAGTGAGAAAATGTAAACAAAGCTCCGTCCCTCACCACCGCTACACCACAGACACCAGCCTGGACACGTTGTATCATGTGGGCTGGACCACTTGTGACACTAGGACAACAAATGGGGGGAATGGGGGTCACCAGGAGCACAAGCTCAGGGTGACGTTTTATAGTGTGGGCTGGACCACTCGTGACACTAGGACAAAAAATGGGGGGAATGGGGGTCACCAGGAGCACAAGCTCAGGGTGACATTTTATCATGCGGGCTGGACCACTCGTAACACTATGACAAAAAGTGAGGGAAATGGGGGTCACCAGGAGCACAAGCTCAGGGTGACATTTTATCATGTGGGCTGGACCACTCGTGACACCAGGACAACAAATGGGGGGAATGGGGGTCACCAGGAGCACAAGCTCAGGGTGACGCTTTATCATGTGGGCTGGACCACTCGTGACACCAGGACATAAAATTAGGGGAATGGGGGTTACCAGGATGGGAAGGCACAAGCAGCAATAAAACTTCACCAAGGGAGCAATGTACTAAAATGGTTTTTGTTTCTGTCAATGTCCCTATTGGAGAGATTTTCCCATCTCTGCCTGTAGAGTTTTGGCTCAAGATAACTTGCTGCAGGCCAGAGACAGTGAGAATATGAGAAAAGTATGGGGGCTGCCATTGCTGACCTCGCCTTTGTGGATGTTAGCTCCCTGGCTGTCATACTGATCCTTTGGCTTCAATGCTTTCTGAGTCTCAGAACTGGAACAAGTATAGAGAGACGGAATCCTGATGGTCAAACATTGAGAATAAATTTGTATTTATATATTGAAATTCCATAAGTTCTATCTCACTCCTAAAATATGTATCAATCTAGAGGTTTGCAAACATACTTATTGAAGATGTCCATAGGATGTTCTTCCTCAATGCACTGACACTATTTCACTCAGTTCCTTGTGCTACAACTCACAGAGCTTGCCTTCTGGACTACAACTCAATGTCTAAACAATGTAACATTATCATTGCTTGCTGGACGCAATGCATGATGGGAAATGTAGTCTGGAGACATCGAGATTGCATCACATCAGGCAAAGAGACACAAAGCACACAGGGAATCCAGGAAGTTGGTGAAAGTGACGGGCAGACAGAAGGCAGCACTCACTACAGAAAAGGGATTTTTTTCAAGCAAGCTTTGATTGTATTTTGGTGATTCTTATTTTGATCAAAGTGACAATAATTTAATTCATAATTGTTACTGAGGACCCATTCACACCACAGCATTGCATTAATCGCACAATTCTATCGCACAGCGCACCTACAGTGCATTATGGGGTGCTAAGCGTGTTGTTTGAACAACACACCTCCAAGCAGTTGTGCATTGCAACGCAGCACATGGTACCGAGATACCATGCATTGTGGTGAAAAAAGTGGTGCGTGTGTTACTTTTATTTCAGCACACAACAACTCAACTAGTGCACGGTAAGGCATGCTAAGTGCGCTGTGCGATAAAATGCGTTAGTTGCATGGTCTTGTGAGAGTAGCGCAGGCTATGGTGTGAATGTGCCCTGAAAGTTGAAGAGAATGGAACAAAACAGCAAACCCTAAGGCTAGGTTCACACCTAGACGACTCCTGACCGCGAGGTTTAGTGCAGGATTTCCGCGAGGTCAAGAATCGCCAAGGTGTGAGCCGATCGCGCTGTGGGTGCCATTTTTTTCTAATGGCACCCCAGTCGCGCCGAGCGGATCGCTAAAAAAGCTGTGCGTCGTGTGTCGCAAAAAAAGATACTTTTTTTTAGCGATTGCCGCGTGGATGTCACCCCATTGGGCCACGCGGCGGTGTAGTGCAGGTGCGAAACTAGCCTAATTCCTGTGCTCCTCGGCCATAATGTGCCGCAAATCTAGATATTGACCAATGTTGAAGTACTACCCCCCGCACTGCAAGGGTTAAGTGCTCATTTTGGTAAAGTGGCTACAATAAAGAAAATATACTCACCCGATCCATGGTAACATCTGGCTGCTAGATCAGTCCTCGCAGCCTCTTCTCCCCTGGGTTCCGATGGTCTGAGGACCCGTGACATCATCACGTCTAATGTAGGTGCATTAGTTGTAAGGGTGCCAAGAGATGTTCCACTACCACAAGCGGGGGTGGGAGAGGTAAGCGCTGGCTGCCACAAGATCGAGTATCTTTATTCCGGCCCTTAGACCAACATGAGCACTTAACCTTTCCTGTGCTGGGGGGTAGGACCACTGCAAGGGTTAATTTACACAATTCCTCTAAGTCTTGTGTTTAAAAAGTGCTGACGGGCCGGCATTATATGACAGAAGAGACTGCCATAGAATTGATCAACATCTGGAGCAGACAAAATCTGGAGCAGTTGAAGAGCTTCTCTCTTCAGCTTGTTTAATTATAAAAGTCCATTGGTTGCCATGGACAACTGCTCCATATTCTGCCTGCTCCAGTTTTGATACATTCTTCAGCATGGTTGAGGGAGCAGAACACAAATATCGCCACACGGATGACTTTTCCGGATATGATTGCCATAAAGTGTACTGTGCATACTAGAGCATCATGGCTGAAAGCAGAATTTACTGTGTGTATAATGAACAGTTAAACACCTGACATGAGAATTGCTTTACCCGCCCTTCTTGTATTCAGCACCGTATCTGTATACAAGCTGTAACTTGGTTACCAGTACTAAGTGACATTGGTATGTGACAGAAGTACATCCGGTGGGCGGGGCACTGCAGGGAGTCGGGGAAAGGGCGTGGTCACAGCCTGGTTGCAGTTTTCTTTTGTTCTCTGGTGTTTGCTCTTTGCACACCTATACTCTTCCTCTATTTTCCCGCCTGTGAGCCCGCGATGACAGTGCAAATGGTTAATTGGGGCTCGCACCAGTGGACGACTGGACGTGAGAAATACGAGATTAACATTTTCATTGTATACCATAAACTGAGGTGGGACCAGTTGTGAACGAACAACACAAACCCCTCATGTGGGGGGAGGACTGGGAGACCTATTGTTATGTGCAGTTTCTGCAGGCACTGTCCTTGTTTACCAGACACTCCCGGAGTGTAAGATTCACATAGCTTCCCGTGACCCAAAGCTCAGTGTAGCTTGCGGTATACTGTGACCGCCGCAGCCGGGATGGATCCCGACATTACTGTCGAGATCCACTCAGCTGCGTGATTGACAGCT